GCTGGATATCGACTCAAGACAAAAAATGAATCCCAGTGATTCATTCCTTTGGATCCTGGGGATGTGTAGTTTTTGAGTCCCCTATTAAATTATACTTTTCATGGAAGGATTTAAAATCCCAAGTCTTTCTGGATCTATGCCTGAAGGGAATTGGTTGATGGCTGGTGACATCCTTGTGTCTCCTTGAGGGAGCAAGTTCTTAAAAGGGTAAAGAGAAGGTGATGAGGAAAACTCTGTTTTGTAAGGGGCAACTCTTTACGTGAGAGTTCTCCACTGGCCACACAGTGTCTCCATACGTAGGGAGTCTTCACTTCTCCAGAGAAGACTTGGGGAGATTTAGCTGCTTGCTGGACCATTCTGAGCCAGAGGGAACTCAGGCAGTGACCCTTGATGAACATTTCCCGTTTTCCTTCTCCCCCATTCCTTGTTACCAGTTGTCCCTTCAGGGTGTCTCAGAACAGTGGAACTGGCCATGCTAACCCAACGTTTAAGTTGCAGACTCCCCAGGGCAAGCGAAAGGTAAGGGCTCTGTACCATTGAATTTTGCCACTTTTCCTTTATCCCTCAGTACCCTGCTGGATTTTCCTAAGGCTCTGTGGGCCTGTGGGATTGGTAAAAAAGCCAAACTTGGCTTGAGAGAGATTCAGTTGGTTCCGACATCCCCTAATGACTTTAAAGATTGTACCTGACCTCTGGGAACCTGGAGATTTGGCAGGTCAGCATGTCCTTCCTTTGGTCTCTGGTCTTCTCAGTGAGACACACAGGGACACCCTTCCTTGAGTTTTTTCAGTATCTTGAGGGCTCCTGTTTCTCAGACATTCCTTGTCTTATGCATACAGGTGACCAACACCCCTGAAACCCCACGGAAGCCCTCCCAACCTCCTCCTCGGCCCCCTCCAGACTATCTTCATGGTGGATCCCCACCTGCACCATTGCCAACGCACCTCAGCAGGGCTGCTAGGAGCTCCCCAGGGGCCGGGTCCCAAGTAGAGAGGAAAGAGTCATCCAGGAGGCCTCCTCCCAGCCGGCCAGTTCCCCCGGCACCAAATTGCATCCTCTCCCAGGTAAGCAGATTCTCAGCAATGCTGTTTTCAAGGCCACCGGCAGCAAGGAATGACAGAGGCTGTGAAGATGGAGCTCACTGAGTCGTGAGCGGCCACTTCCCCTGCATCCTGGTGAATGCAGGGGCACAGAGAGGGTGAGAGAGGTGACCTTGGGGAAGTTTACTCCCCAGGAAGCCCCTGAACTGCAGAGGATTTCCTTCCTGGTTGGTTTGTTTTCTGACACGCCACTACCTACCCAGTGCCCTCAATGAACTTCTTTCAGTTTGCTGTGCTTTTTCTCTCCTCTAGTCCTTTGGGAATGCTTTGTCTTCTGACTGGCACACTCTTTCCTCCTTTTGCATGGCCAGCCCTGTTTATCCTCAGATCTCCCCCTACTTGTCACTCCCCCCTCCCCAGAAGCCCTCTCTGACCCCCAAGCCTGAGTTCCGTGCCCCTGTACCTCTCTCATCACAGTACTTATTCCACCAAAGTGAGCTTTCCACTAGTCGGGAAGTCTTACTGAGGGATGCTAATTCGAGGGCAGTCAGGGACAGAGGCCCCTGGAAGGTGTGAGTCATCCTGCCAGCAGCCTGTTCACCTGGCCTGTCTGTGCCTGTCTTGCAGGAGTTCCCACGGCATAGGCACAAATCTTTCCCAGGCAGTGTCCCAGCACGGTACCTTCCAGAGCTGTCCTGCGTGTTCTGGTGTGACCCTTCAAGTGGGGCAGAGGACCTGTTTATTTTCCTTCTGGGACTGCTTTCCTTGGGCTTCACTGGGACCCCGGCTGACCCCATCCGTGGGTTTGGCACCAGCTCTGGGAGGTTCCCTGGGACACAGGGCAGGATCACGGTTCGGCAGAGCTGAGAGCATCAGGTTTGGGTCGCCAATGATGTGAATCTGCCTGTCTCCCATTTTTCTCATCTGAGTCAAGGGTGGGATGGAAAATATCCATGCAGAAAGGGAGGGGAAGGACAGGCAGCAAGAGGAGAGGGAAGAAGGGAGAAGAGCAAGAGGTCAGAAGTGACGAGCAGAGGCGGCAAGTGCATTCGTCAGCTGGAGAGACCCTGAGTCCCACTGACCCTCTGAGCAAGGGCTTAAACAGCAGAAAGTTATTTTCCCACAGTTCTGGAGGCTAGAAATCCCAAGATCGGTGGTCTGTAGGGTTGGTTGTTTCTGGTCTGCAGATGACCCCCTTCTCCCATGCCCTCTATTGGTCCTTCCTTTGGGCCCCAATGTCTCTGTGTCCAAATTTCCTCTTCTCACAAGGACACCAGTCAGATTGGATTAGGTCCCATACTAACAGCTTCATTTTAACTTAATTGCCTCTTTAAAGTTCCTGTTTCCAAATATAGTCACATTCTGAGGTCCTGGGGCTTACGGCTGCAACATATGAATTTGTAAGTGGAAGAGCCAGGCTTCAAACCCGGGTCTGACTCCAAACCCTTCACCACCCTGTGTGCCAGGTCCTGGCTTAGGCCCTGGGATCCCCCGAGCTGAGGGGAACATCATCTTGTCTTGGGGGCATTCGCAGTCCAGATCTCAGCTGCACCATTCCTAGCTAGGTAATCACGCTGGAGGTCTCTAGGGACCACCCTTCGAGAGGTAGTGGTGAAACTTTGTAACCTCCTCTATGCCCTACCAATATTTAGGAGCTTCTAATCTATACCAGGTCCTGGTGGGCAAAACAGATGCCATCCGTGCCTCCCAGAGCCCATATTCTGCTAGGGAAGAGACTCAGACATGTGTAGTTACAGTGGTGATCAATGCTATAAAGGAGAGGTCCAGGGTGCTCAGAAGGAATTACAGCAAGAGTTGATCTACTCTAAGAAATCTAGGAAAGTTTCCCTGAGGAGGTGACATTTGAAGTGAGAGCTGAAGGATGAGCAGGAGTTGGCAGACCGTGAGGGTTGAGAGAGGAGAGAGTTTTCCTGGTCCAAGGACCTGCTGATAGGAGGTTTTATGATGGCAGAGAGTCCTGCAGAAGAAAGGAGCATCAAGGTCATGGCTCTGGGGCCTGAGGAGTTAGATGAGGCTAGAGAATCAGGAGGGGCCAGACTGTGCCACAGGCTTTGGTCAAGGCTTTGCTCTGCATTCCATGGGAAGGGGGCAGTGGTGGGGGCATGGTGACATGATCCACTTTGCCATTTACAAGGATTCCCTTTGGGCTACCTTTAGGCAGGAGGGGAGTGCAGTGCCTGGGAGGGGCCTGTAGATGCTTCTGGGACTGTTAATCTTCTATTTCATGCCCCAGGTAGGGATTATAAAAGTGTGCTCACTTTGTGATTATTCATCTAGTTGTATATTTATGATTCACATTTTTGTATGTATATTACACTTCCACTTTACAAAACTGGTTTAAGAAAATGAAAGGTTTAATATTTAAAAAAATAAGACCATAAAGTATATCCTTTTTTTCTCAACTGATTTTGATCTGTAATATATCGGGAGCATTTTCTTTCAAACAGGCCCCTCCGGCCTTTGAGTAAGACTTGTGACTTTCTCCCCAGGATGTTTCTAGGCCGCGGCCGCCGCAGAAGGCACTGCCGGCTAACCCTGTGCCAGGCCGTAAGAGCCTCCCCAGGCCAGGTGGCGCCTCCATGCTGCGGCCCACTGCCACTACCCCTCTTCAGTCCCGGCCTCTGGCAGCACCTGTCCCAAAGGTGAGTCTGTGGAAACCCTCAAGGTATAAGCTGGAGTCAGAGGGCTCCAAGAGGCAAGAATGTGGTTGAGAAAACAGACCAATTCATGCTCCTTTTTGCAGGGATGAATTTCCAGAGCAAAAGCCAAGGACCAAACCTTAGTGTTTCCTGGTGCCTGCATGACTATCCGTTAAATTAGGGTTAGAGTTTTTTTTCTTTCATATGAAAGGTGATGCTTAGGAGTCTGAACTGTGGTGCCTTCAAACCTGGATCTGCAACTGGCCAGCCGAATAGCCCTGAGCAAATCATTCTTGAATCTCAGCTTCCTTCTCTGGAAAGAGGCAATAAGAAGCAGCAGTAGTCTGCCCCATCAGGCTGTTGCGAAGGTCAAGGCAGTTAGTTTATATACACTGCTGGCTAGTGAAAGGCTATTTACAAATGGCCCATCTTCTTCCCTCTCCCCTGGGGCTGACATGTTCTCAGGCTGCCAGTCCTGGAAGTTGGGGCAGAGGGGAGGAGGCAAGGAAGCTGGCCGACTGCCCTCTGTTCCCACCAGGCCTGGGAAATGTGTAAACTGAACTGCAGCTCAGGTTGGGGGCACCACCTCACCTCTCACTGGAGGGTTGATAGTCTGGACACACAGGCACGGCGACACATTTCTACGGGAAACCATTCCTAGCTGACGGTCTATCCTCCTGACCTGTCAAAAGCAAGAGGACAGATCCCGTTGACCCCATTGGTCAACATTTAGCTGATCTCTCTCTCCCTCCCCTTTCTTTGTTTCCACAGTTTCCTGAATACAGATCACAGAGGGCTGGGGGGATGATTGGCCCGAAGATCTAACCCCTCTAAAGGGGTTTCTGCCTTTCCTTGAGGACTCTGAACCCCACCTCATCCCAAAGGATCCGTGGCCATGGAACCTGGAAAAAGCATGTCTGGCCACCTCCAAGCTCCTCCTCCCCTCTTTCCTTCCTCCCAGAACCACCGCATCTCCAAAAATCTCCTTCTTGACTCAGTGCCTCCTTGGCTTCCTGGGAGGCCCAGAGAGACTACTGTCCAGTGGCATCAAAATGTTGTTTTGTGCAATATACTGCCCCAGGGAAGGGAGGAGAGAACACAGATGAAGACAAATGGAAGCTTCTCCTCCAACCTCCCTTGGGTTGGCCTGTCACCTCAGAGGTGCCAGTGGGGATGGTCTGGGCTGTATGACCATACAGGCCCAGCTGGGAAAAGTCCTGTTCAGCCCTTCAGCCCACGACTTGGCTTGGAGAAGCCATTCATCCACATCCTGTGGTGGAGGGAATACATGAGAGCTTTCCATTTCTTCTCTCTTGAAGGTCCCAGGCTTGACAGAGGCTGGGCAGTTACTCATCCCTTTTAGCTCTGAGATTGAGAGGGGTCAGGCCAGCCTCCACCGTGGCCCTGTCCAGGGCCTGGTGGAGGCCACCACTCCTGGCTCTGTGGCCACATGTGAGCAAGTGAAGTCTGCTCCCCTCCCACCCCTCTAAACCCCCACCTCCCCTTATTCACACGGGTCGCCCTGACTCCAACAGGTACTATTTGTGGGCAGTATAGACAGCAGAGGGAGCACCAGGCTTGGGCCTCCTCTGAGCCAATGCCAAAGGTTGTGGCTCTCACCTCGGGATCATTCTTGGTTGCCTTTTGTTTCCTTGTCTTAATAAGTGCCCCGCGCTTTTGATTTCTCCCTTCAGAAATTTCTCCTTCCCCACTCAGATCTACCTAAGGTGTGGTGCTGCAGTGAGTGGGTCTTCAGCAGTCCCAGCCTCCCAGAGACCTGGTGCTTGTGAGTTACAAGTGAGGGTCCTGCTGCAAGGGTTGGCCACTGGATTTCCTATGTGGTTCTCACGGCTCTTGACCAGAGGACACTCAGGCCATGGCTGTGGGGGTCGAAGCTTTTTTTTTCCCATTGGGTTTTGTGACCTCAGCAGAGTGAGGGTGTCTTACCCTCTACTCCCTGGTGGAAATCTAAGTAAGGTCCTCAGGGAGGGCAGCAAAGGGGGCAGAACCCCAGCCTGTCCCTAGGTCTGGTTACTGATTGGAGTGACGGTTGTTGCCCTCTGAGCAAAGAGCTGACCTGTCCCTAGAGATCTGTAGAGAAGTAGCAGTCAGCAGTCTTGATGGAACAGAGTCAGAGCTGGAGCCACCAGGCTTTTTATCATCCACTTCCTCGTGTTCTTTCTTCTGGTCACTGCCTTTATCTGACTTTTATAGAAAGAACTCGGAGCAGCTGGGAAAATGCCACTGCATTGGGTACTGCCCTCCCCAGAGCAGGAAAGGAAGGCTTTGTGGTGCTCTGCTAAATTGGACAACTTGTCACTGGAGATGTTCTCTGGTGGCGGTCTCCACCCCCAGAAGGGTGCTGTGCTGTCCCCACCTCCTGCAGTGAGCCGTTGTTCACGCTTGAAAACCTCAATACAAGGAAGAAGCTTGAGCTTTTACTCCCCAGCCACCAACCCAGGGCCCCCTTATAGTTCTCTGCATACAACAGGTGCTCGATATGTGTTCTCGGGTTTTAGACAAGTGGGAGATTTGGAATGTACCCCTAGGGACACACATGAGGTAGATTTAGAAAGATCTCAGGAAAATGAGTTTCCTTTCCCTCAGGTAGTCTGATATTCATGCGTCTGTCTCCCAGACAAGGGCCCTGGTTGATCCCCATAGCCAGTTTCCACCTTCCTTGCTGCCTGATTAGGTCAGGGGACAGCCTTCCATGTAATTGTGCTACTCCAAATGCCCCAGGCCTCAAGGTTGGGTCCCAGAAAAGTAAAGGTGAAAACACCCTGGCGCAAAAAAAAAAAAAAAAAAAAGTCACCCTTATGCCCACCTGCATGCTTCACAGACGTTCCTGTGGTATGTCTAGCTTTTTTCCCACATACCAGGAGGTCGAAGGCTCTGAAGTGAAAATGCCACAGCCATTGTGGCTGCATGAGCCTTTTGAACCTGAAATCCACTCTCCCTGGAGCCATACCAGAAAGAGTCCTGGGTTGTGTTTTCTTTTTTTTCTGTTTTTGTTTTCCGTTATTTTAATACCACCTCTATCCCATAAAATTGTACTGTGAACTGGAAGAAGGTCGAATTTTTTATATTTGATGGAGACTTTTGGTGGCCGGTTCTATTTACTGTTTCACTTCTGGCTGTGTCCAGGGACTGGGAGTCACCGTATTGGCAGGCTGAGCAGGCTGCCCAAGAGTGAGACTGACCACTGCGTGCTCCCTTTTCCTTCCTGTGCCCCTGTGCTGCTTTGAGGTGACAAATAAAAACAAATATGGCCTTAGGTTAAAAGGGATTTTATTTGAAAGGATTACTGCAAGACAAGGAAAGGGAACTTGCATTCCGGGCAGGGTGCTGGCAGTGGGGGGAATGCTCAAGTGAGCTCTTGTAAGATCTGCAAGTATCTCAAAGCTCATAAAGGGGCCTTTTATTTGATAGGATGGAGTGGATGTGACTGGAAAGAACTGCAGTTGGAGCATCCTTGCACTCAGCCTCCTTGTGGGGGGCTGCTACAGAAGGGCCGTAGGTTGGCTCAGGCTGAGGGTGGGCCCAAGTTCAGAGTCTGGTGGGGAGACGAGCCTAGCTAAAGCTGGTGGAGTTAACCAGTCCTTTGTTCAGATGGAGCTGTATGGAAATCTTTTTAAAAGCTAACTTAACCTGCCAGTTTTACAGCCCTGTAAATGTTTTTCTTAAGAACCTGGGAGCCATCTCTGAAAAGTAAACCTCAAGGGACCGCAAGGGAGCTAGCATCCCCATCCGCCTGTCTCAGTAGGAGTTTTACCCAGGAGCCGACTTGCTGTCGGTTGTTTTTAGCGTTGTTTACTTCTCCTTGTAAAAACCCTTTTCTGCCCCAGCTCTGAGATGCCTGCAGATCCTATAGTATTGTGAGAGCCCCTTCTCCATACTGCAGTAGCTCCTTGCTGTCTCTTGCCACAATCCTTTTGAATAAAACCTCCCTTACCTATGTCCAAATTTGTTCTTTTTTGGCAAAGGGTATGGAAGACTTGTGTGATTTAAATGGGGGACCAGCTCTAAAGTCAGGATTGTGTTAAATGTGTATATATAACAGCTCTGCTGGCCACCCAAGAAAGCCAAGGGAACACCAACTGGAAAGGTGCCCCATCCCTAGGGAAGCTTGCTAAGAGGGGTTCTGCAGAATCCAAGCCAGTGTCCCCAGAGCCACCCTTCTGCTCATCCTCTCACACCATCCGCTGTGTGTACGTCTGTGTCTGGGATCTAGGGCATGTGAATTTTCTTTTTATTTGGAGATTGTTCACGGAAAACAGATCCTATTCTCTCTTGTCCACCTATTAATTGTTTACAATATTTGTACATCTATGCAAAATACTTGAATGGGCCATGGTGCCTTTTTCCCCCCTTGTTTGTATTTAATTAAAATAAATTGTCATTCGAAATGTTGTCTGGTTTGGCAGTTCTTTTTTGTTGGTGTTAATCTCCCACTGCTCAGCCTGGATAGGGTCCATCTCATGAGGACTCCTCAGAAGAGTTCCCACAGAGACAACCAGTCCATCTGTGAGGCCACAATGAAAGACCCAAAGCCACAGCAAAGGGTTTTCCCATGACCAGTTGAGAAGGGCTGCTTACCTTTGTACCTGGACACAGGCTAGTCTAATTTAATTAGGTTTGGGGTCACTAGAGGCACGAAAGAATGATCCTGGGATCGTCTGCTGTGTTTCTCCTCAGGCTACACTATTGTGCTTGGAGACAGCGAGGACCCTTGGTCAGCCTCCTCATCTTATTGCTAGGTAACACGCACTTCCAAATGGGGAGAGTCTTGCTCAAGGTCTGTTGGGCTGGGTGGGCAGGTGCAGAGCCAAGGCTAGGGTTGAGTATGCTTTCTGATTCCAGAGCCCTATGTGATAACAACTGCCATCCATTAGTGCCCCTGAGTCTGCAGAAAGATCCCACCCTTATTCTCTCATTTGATCCCTGCCTTGGTTTTGAGGTTCTCTAAGAGAGAATCATAATAACCATGCTAGGAGGTAACATTTACCGAGTACTTAAATTATGCTAGGCATTGTATGTTACTGTCTTTCTGTACATTACCTCATTTAATCTTCACAAAAGCCCTGGGAGGTCTTTGGTATCTGATATTTTTCTAACTTCTCAGGATTTTGAGACTGCCTGAGGATATCAAATGCTTTGACTACTAAAATGCTTCCTCATGAAATCAGCCCCCACCCAAACACCCCTGCCTGTTTAACATCCATCATCTAAACTACCCACTGTGTCTACTCTGCCAGCCGATCTCTGGGTTGATAGTCATAGATTGATCAGCAATGCAATACGCAAAGCCTGGTTGGACAGACCTGGTTCAAATCCCAGCTCTGCTGCTTACTAGATGTGTGGAAATGGATAAATTCCAGAACCCGGGGCCTTTTTTTGCTACATGGCGGGAGTAATACATACCTCAAAAGTGTGATCATACGCGAAGTGCTCCGTGTGAAAGCACCCACCTGTGCCTAGCCTGGGCTAAGTGCTCAGAGACTGCTGACTACATCAGTTTTTGAGTTGCCCTGCTGAACATGCCAGGGTTTTATTTATATCTGCTCTGGATTGAGAGTTGGCTCCCAAGACGTTTGGGCAAAGGAACAGTATTGCTCCTTTATTCAACAGATGATTTTTATGAGTGCCAACTATGTGTTCGGCATTGAAAACAAGCAGCAAACAAAGACCAGCTCCCATGAGGCTTATACCCAGACAGGGGAAACAGCATGGATCACAGGAAAAGGAATGAGCAAAGTAGTGCCAGACTTAGTTTAGTGCTTCGGAGAGATGCATTGCCTGGTGGGTAAGACTATAGACCCAGAGCCAGATATCAACTTGGACTCTTCCTGGCTGTGTGACCTTGGGAGATTACATAACCTCCCTGAGACACTTTCCTCAAAAATAGGGCTTAAAAACATATCTACCTTGGGGCGCCTGGGTGGCTCAGTCAGCAAAGCGTCTGACTTCGGCTCAGGTCATGATCTCACGGTTCGTGGGTTCAAGCCCCACATTGGGCTCCATGCTAACAGCGCAGGGCCTGGAGTGTGCTTCAGATTCTGGGTCTCCTCCTCTCTCTCTGCCCCTCTTTGTTCATGCTCTCTCTCTCTCTCTCTCTCTCTCTCAAAAATAAATAAACATTAAAAGTTTAAAAAAAAATCTACCTGGGGGATTTGTGAGGACTTAAAGAATCCACATAAAGCTGTTCATACTATGCCTGGCTCCCAGTATGGGCTCAGGTATTAACAAGGGATGAATATTTTCAACCGACTATTCCCCAAACAGCCTTTCCCACTGTAGTGAGAGTGTGCCTGTGAAAGTTACTGTAGGGACTTACTTGGCAGTCACAACCCTCCAGAGATCAGAGACCAGCCCCCCAGCATTAGACAAACCAATTTAATTGTTCTGTGTCCGATGAAGACCAAGACACAAGTATCAAGTAAACATACCCAGAGGTCTTTTTTCTTGACCCTGTAAACCACGCTCTTAAGGCCCTTAGATTACTGCCTCTCTCAAGATCCAACATGTTGCACTGATTTTAGTTACAGACAGAAATCCACATTCATTGAAAACTGGAGATTTGAGGCTGGAGGTGCAGGAAGCTAGTGTATTGGTCAGCCGAGCCTTTAGAGCTTCAAGGCCAGCAAGAGTCTGGGCCGGGCTTGGCTGTGCTTAGGGCATGGGACATCAACGCAGGACACAGGTACGGGGTTATACAGGGGAGGCTCTGCACCCACTTGGGGGCTGAGGATCAAGCCTTCCCTCTTTATAGATATACTGGCTCTCTTACTTCCCCTTCAATGGCCCTTCTACCAACTCCCACACTCTTGCAGCTAGAAAGAAGACAGGAAGGGAATTATCTCTCTCCCTCTCTCCAGCTGCTCTTGTTTTTTAAATGCGTCTGGCCAAATGTGAGGGGACCAAAGGCAGTTCCCAAAGTAGATGGTGTTGGAGCAGCCACGACCTGCTGCTTCCCAAGGTGGGTAGCTCATCAATGGCATTGAGGACTTCGTGGCCATCTGATCAACAGCCAGAAAACACCCATGCCAAGCCTACACCCCACTTGGTCACGGAAGTTCAAAGCTGATCCCACTGCTCAAGCCTCTAAGGCTATAGCCCAGAAAGTACCCAGAGCCCTTTTCACCTGGGTTCTTGGGCACCAGAATAAACACAAAAGTCATCCCTGGTTTCTAGAGGGCCTGTGGCCACTTTCTGCCAAATTCTGACATTGCTCCTAATTCTCCCCATCTCCCCAAATCATATTTTGGTTTACTCCTTGAGGAAAAGGAAAGTGCATTCTGCCAAATGCTATTTTGACAGCCAGACTACTTTTAAGAGCAGTGCAAATGCTGTTCTCTTTCCAGAAGGAGGCAAAATGAAACACTGGGTTGGGCCAGCAGAGCTTGGCTGTAGAGGATCATTGTCCTTGTCATTTTGTTTTTTGAGTTCTAAGGTAATTGCCTGAATGTCTCAGTGACAACTCCTTAGGACAGAGAGGGAGACGGAAGGGGCAGGGATGGGGGTAGAGTGGACGGAAGTGAAGATGCTGACCTCCCAGCTGGAGTGCTCCGGGAATGGGGCTGGTGGAAATGTTCCCTGAGACATCAGGTGGTTTTCACAGTAAGAAGGTCAGCTGAGGTCATGCTGTTGTCTCCGAAGAGGAAGTAGCAAATGCAGCAAGACGTCTCACATTAGTTGTCAGCTCTGGATGGGAGGCGTGACGAATTGCTCTCGGGGCCTCCAGGAGCCAGCTGCACTTTGTCCTTGGGCTGAGGAATGGGATTCAGTCTCAGGAGAACCAGTGCTAAGTATTTCCTGACGACTGGCATCTCAGGGAAGTTCTTGGCCTGTGCTACATTCAACGGGTCAAATTCTATCTTCTTCCCAACAACACAGAGATGGCACTGAGGAAACAAGTGGGAAGGGAGGTCCAGGGGACCTGCTGGCACCAACATCAAGTAGGGTATTTGGTCACTGAGGCTGTTTCCACGAAGTTCTGCAACCACCGCTCACTGGGTAGGGATTTTCCTTCTGGAAACAATGATGAGGTATAAATGAACATCTCAAGAAAAGAGAGCCTATCGGTAACAGTTGTTCTGAAAATAACCAGGTGGCTCTGGAATTGAGAAGTCAGGCTGTACTGTAGTGCTCATCTTCTCACTCTTGTATTCCACACTTTAAGAATGGATTATAAATACTTTGGGCTTCTCTTCTGGTGATGGGGTGCTGGAGAGTTCTATATTGTCCACAAGGACATTCTTGTCTTCTAGTCTAATGACAGTGGGCTCAGGGGTGGGAGATGGGGTTGGGTTTTTGTGCATGTGGGGCAAGCTGGTCTGGCTGATGTCCAGGTCTTTGAAAGCATGAAGCATGAACACACCCAGAATGATGGTGACAAAGCCAGAGAGGGTGCCCACAATGTCCACTACAGACATGCTGTACCATTCCTTGAAGAGGATGACGGAGGAGGTAACCACCACCGTCGTGAAGAACACATAGTAGATGGGGAACACCAGGGAAGTATTAAAAATGTCCAGTGCCCTGTTCAGGAAGTTGACCTGAGTGCTGAGAGAAAGTGCCAGGATGAGGGACAGGATGTAGGGGAGGGGATGCCTCACAACTGGCATCCCCTGGAAGAAGTTCTTAATGGTGATGCCCAGACCCTTGACGGCAGACACGGAGAAGGACCCAATCACAGAGCAGATGATGATGTAAACGAGGATGTTCCTTTGTCCATAGCGTGGGGCGATGACGAAGATGAGGATGAGGCAGAACACCAGCAGAAGCACAGCAAACACGATGTACCCTTCAGGAGGGGAAGAGATAGATAATCTGAGCTACGGAGGGTGCAATTAGTATCTAGAGAGCCCCTATCCATGGTGATGGGATGTAACACAGTAGGGTTCCAGTCCCATGACACAACTTTTGAATAATTTGGACAAGTTACTAACTAAACCGCAAGACCTCCATTTCCTCATTTGTAAAACAGGGCTAAGAATAGGACCTTTCTCGGGGTACCTGGGTGGCTCAGTCAGTTGAGTATCGACTCTTGATTTTGGCTCAGGTCATGATCCCAGGGTCGTAGGATCAAGCACCATGATGGGCTCCATGCTAAGCATGGAGCCTGCTTGGGATTTGCTCTCTCTCTCTCTCTCTCTCTCCCTCCCTCTGCCCCTTTCCCCTGCTCTTGCTCTCTCTCTCTCTAAAATAAAATAAAATAAAATAAAATAAAATAAAATAATAAGTTAAAAGAATAAAAGAATGGGACCTTTCTCATAGAGCTTTTTTGGTGGGATTTAATAAGATAATACATGCTACAAGACTATGTCCCCCCAAGTTCCTATGTTGAAACCTAATTCCCAGTGTGATGGTATTTGGACATGGGGCCTTTGGGAGGTGATTAGGTCATGAGGGTGGCACTTTCATAAATGGGATTAGTGTCCCTATAAAAGAGATCCCAGAGAGATCCTTCACCCCTTCCACCCTGTAAGGGCACAGAGAGAAGATGGCCATTTATGAATCAAAATCTACCAGGGCTTTGATCTTGGATTTTCCAGCCTCCAGAACTGTGAGAAATAGATCTCCGTTGTTTATAAGCCACCCAGTCCATGACATTCTGTTACAGCAGCCTGAACATACTAAGACAATGCATGGAAAATATTTAGAACCATGCCCGGCACATAATAAACACATGATAAATGGCATCAATACACATCAGGCTGGGAAGCCTGTGAGCTAACCCTAGGACCAGCCCCCAACTTTCTTTCTTTAGCTTCCCTCTCCTCCAGGTGGCAGCACCTGGCACGGTCAGCACGCAGCCAGACCTTCCCACTCACGGGGCTCGGAGCCTACCTGTGTCTTTCATCTTGGCAGCCATCTCAACGACGGTGGAGACCTTCTCTTCCTCGGGGGCGTGTATCACCATCACTGTGCTGCCGGCCACACAGATCACACAGCCCAGCTTCCCCAGCAGATTCAGACTCTCTCCCAGGAAGTATGAGGACAGGACAGCACTGCACATGGAAGTGGGAGACAGAGATTAGAAGCCATACTTGTCCCAGTGTCCTGAAGGAAAATGGGGCCTGAGCAAGCACTCATGGAGAACAGATCAAGGCTCACTGATCTCCTCCAAAAAACATTTGAAATAGAAACTTATTTAGGGGAGGCTTATGGCGTGTGCTGGAGGAATCGACGTATGTGTGGAGTTCTTTCATTTTAGAGACTAAAAGATCCCCAAACACAAGAGTCGGAAAAGTCCTTCAAAGCACTCTTGTCTAACTTCCTACCAATGAGCACATCTTCTCTTAACATTACAGACTGCTTTCAGACATGGCTTGTAAACCACTGGTGGCAAGCAGCTCGCCCCTGCACAAGGCAAATGGATCTACTGTAGGTTCATTCTAATTGTCAAAAATATGGTAATTTCTACTCATTGTCCTATTTCTATTCCATGAGCTATACGGAACAAATCTATTCCTTCTTCCGTTTGTATATGCCAACATAAACAACCACAATGACAATTAGAGGCACTGTGTCTTGGGCATATATAATATGTACTAAGTATTAGGCTAGGAACTTTCTACTTATTATATATCACTCACATCTCACAACTCTTTGAGAAGTAAAATATATTATCCCCATTTTATAGACAAGAAACTGAGTCTTATAGAAATTAAAATAACTTGGCAAGGTCATGCAACTGGTAAGTAGCAAGGCCAGGATTTTAGCTGAATTTCTGTCTAATTATAAAGCCTATGGTTTTTCCTCTATACTTCATTGAAGAGAATTCTTGTGACTTCCCTGAAGTGGGTAAAACACCTCCAGTTCCTTGCTATTCCTTGGTGATGTGATTTTCATTCCCCTCACATCCTCAGATGGCAGAGGTGAGGGAAGAAGGGAGGGAAATGGGGTAAGACAGGTATGATCTCATAGTAGGTTTCTATTTCCTTACAAAGGTAACATTAACTTGGGGTAAAAATCAGTGGCTGATCTAGGAATGAATTCCTCCCCCCCAAATCCTAGTTAAAGATATGAAGAGAGGGGAGATTAATGTCCAAGCTCCTTTGAATGTCTTTTGTCTTTCCTTTAAAACTACCCATAACGTTTTACCCGGAATGTGTGTTCAAGAGAGTCTGGTGGCATTAGCACAGGCAGACGTCACGCGATGGAGTATTCCCCTCCTCCCCCAACTTCCTGGGAGTAGGAATTTGTAAGTTAATCAGATACACAATAGAAGCATCACAACTACATCAGCCAACTGTACAATGTGAGTCACGGTTCTGTTTGTTTTTGATTGTGTAAACGTTACAAAATTGTCATCAAGATGGTAAAACAAAACAGGAAACTATGGGTGCTGGGTGTGGTCAGCTGGCATTTACCAGGGCTCCCAGGTTAAGCCAATAATCACAGCCAGCTTCAAATGGGGCTCCAAGACCCCCACAGAGGAACTATGCTTATAGTTCAGGAGGAATGAGGCAATGCGAAGCACACATACTTAGTATCAGTTATTTTAAAAACTATTGGATGTCTGTCAGGCAACACGGCTTAGTGGCTTGAGCACATGGTCTTTGAAATCAGACTGCTTGGGTGGGAATCCTGGCCTAGCCCCTTAGGACCTGGCTGATCTTGACCAAGTTGCTTAACCTGTCTTGGCTTCAGGTGTCTTCTATTTTCTAGTTAGTAGGGAGGCTGTGAGGATTAAATGAGTTAATACATGGGAAACATTTAGAACATTTAGCACATAGTAAGCCTTCATATGTGTTGGCTATGGTGATTCTTCACTGCCAGTTCTGTACTATGCTCTTTCTTTCTTTCTTTCTTTCTTTCTTTCTTTCTTTCTTTCTTTCTTTTTTCTTTTGTAACATTTATTTTTGAGAGACAGAGCACGAGCTGGGGAGGGGCAGAAAGAGATGGAGACACAGAATCTGAATCAGGCGCCAGGCTCTGAGCTGTCACCACACAGCCTGACTCGACGCGGGGCTCGAACCCACACACCGTGAGATTGTGACCTGAGCCGCAGTTGGATGCTGAGCCAGCCAGGCGCCCCTGCACTATGTGCTTTCTGTGCATCATCTCATTTAGTCCTTGAAGCAATGCCTTCAGGTAGGTAGTATTAGCATCCCCACTGAGCAGACAGGGAAATTGAGGCTTAGAGAAGTTAAATGACTTGCCCATGGTAATGTAGTTACTACATTAGGCAGAGCTAAGGTCAGAACTCAGGGACAGCTAATACAGAGCTCATGCTTTTTAACTTGTATGCTGCTCCTACTGGGGCACGAAAGCATTGACATGAGACAGTCAGCTTGGTGGCAGTGGGAGCCCTTCCAGCTGATCTGGGTTTGGCCTGCCCTTCTATTGCCCCATCGTTCGAGGAGAGGCTAGAGCAACCAGCAGCAAACAATCTACAGATCAGGAGCTCTGAACAGCACAGTGCCTCTTTCTGGGAGCTAATATCGACCCACGTCCCTGACTGCAAGTGGCAGTTGACCCCACTAGACAGTTCCAGACCCAACAAACTGAAAATAGGAAGGAGGCAGAGACAGCAAGAGGTGACAATAACCTTATGAGGACACTCAGCGCTCCCAGAGGCGTGACAACTGTCGCAGGAGCAAATGCGTAGGCCCCGAAGTTGGCAACCTCTCCAGCAGCCACTAGGAAATGAAGGGAGAAAACAGGGTAGTGTGGCTTCGATGCATCATCTCCAGCTCAACTTAACCTGGGCAGAGACAGCTTAATTCAGTGGTCAACCATTCACAGGATCCCAGACCATCATTCCTTAATGTCTTGATCCTTATGCTCTCCCCATGGCCAATCTGATCAGAAGGTCAGGCCCAGACTATCCTGATCAAATCCTTCCATTTTAGATGGTCAAGCTAGGCCCAGAGTCCAAGGTCACAGGACATGTTTGTGGAAGGATGCTTTCTTGTTCTTGAGGTCTCTTGGCTTCTAGTCCAGGCACGGCTAAATGTATCTCAGGGACTGTTGATGTTTCATCTGTATATATGAGGTGAGTTCTAGAAAATGTTAATTTATCAAATAAAGAAACATTTAATTATTGGTTCTCCAGGTACCAGTTGGTCGTGAGGCCATCTCTCCCAGATTGACAGGCAGGTGGTTAGAAAGTCTGACATTCCCAAAGGGCCTAGTTCTCTGCATTTGAGTTTCTAGTTTGCAGACTCCTGAAAGTGCCCTTTCTGTCTCTGCTGGTAGAGAATGACCTGGGTCTGCCCTTTGAAAGTAGATGATGAATGTTATAGCCCTGGCTATGACTAGGGTCAAAACCTGACTTATAAATGGAAAGCTGGATAATTTTCCATTCAAAAGAATTAGGGTTTGAAAGCCAGAGAGGGTGGGTGGAAAGCGGGGGAAATGTGTGAATGTGCAAATCTGGGCAAACTGCAAGTGGCAGACCAGCCATGTTCTAAAGTGAGCCAACACACGGCCTGTGGAATGAGAAAATTGGCTGAGGAGCCCCAGCCTCCCGTGTAGAGATTCAAGAGACTCCAACCAGGAGTGATAACTCTCTATGTTTCAAGGGAAGTTGAGAAAAGACATCTTTATCATTACCAGCTCTCTACAAACCTCTCTGGGCTTAAATGTTTCATGGATGAAGGACTGACTTTGGGCTGAGAAAGAGATATGAAATACAGGTAAAATGTTCAACCTGCAAAGATGGTCAAGAGGTTCCCCTTGGGAATCTGGGTCTCAGATTCACACTTGGCACAATGGAGACAGAAAGGCCCCCCTCCGCCCCTCCTTTCATCTCCGCCTCTGCCATCAAAGGGTCACTGTTGTTAGTAAGAAAGAACCCACTTACTGGTGAGAAATCCAGCCCACCACATGGCATCCTTCAGGTAGCCATACCCTCCGTCCACTGTAGAAAGGAATGGACACAAAGTTAGCTTGGCCGTGCTCTTTCAGGCACCTTTCCTATCTCTACCTTCACTCCCCAGTCTTGAAGGATTCAATATATGTTAGCTGGTTAGTCCTCTGGGCTTGCTTCTGGGTGAACTTATCCATTCCCCAAGTTTTAAATACCATCTTTATGCAGGCATCCTTATTTCATACGTGTATACTGATCCTTTCTTTGGAGCCCAGATGTATGTTCAATGGCTTAGTTGACATCTCTTGGATCTCCTATAGGCATCCCAAACTCTGTCTTAAATAGAACTCTTAATTTTAAATTCTCCCCACCCACCCACCTACCAAATGAAAGTCAGTAAATGGCACCTCTATGCACCCAGTTGCTTAAGCCACAAACCAGAGAATCACCCTTGACCCTCCCATTCCTCCACCTTCTGCATTCCATCCATTCTGCTAATTCCCTCTCCAAAGAGCATCGCACATATGTCCACTCCACTGCCACCACTCAACTCCAAGGCACTACCACCTCTGGCCTGGGCTAAGGCAATAGCTCTCTATGTTCATCTGATTCCACTCTCATCACCCCTTTATTTTTTATTTTATTTTTTAAAAAAAATTTTTTTTTTAACGTTTATTTATTTTTGAGACAGAGAGAGACAGAGCATGAGTGGGGGAGGGTCAGAGAGAGGGAGACACGGAATCTGAAACAGGCTCCAGGCTCTGAGCGGTCAGCACAGAGCCCGACGCAGGGCTCGAACTCACGGAGTGTGAGATCGTGACCTGAGCCGAAGTCAGCCGCTTAACCGACTGAGCCACCCAAGCGCCCCTCTCATCATCCCTTTATAACCCACTGCCTTCATAGCAGCCAATGAATTTTAAGAATGTAAATCATACAGTCACCCCTCAAGCTTGCAGCAGGCCAATAGCTTCCAAATACTCAGAGGATAAAGCCCCAAATCCTAAATAAGCCAGTTTGTGGTTTTGTCCCTGTTCACCTCTCCAAAGGCATCTCCTACCACTCTTCTTACTAGTATCTACTCACTCAGGCTTTCTTTTAGTTCGTCCAAAATGACAAGCTCATTTTGGCTTTAAAAACTTTGCATGTGCTTTTCCATGTTGGAAACAGTCTTCTTAACGATATTTGCTTACATATATTTGCTCACTCTACAGGACGTTGCTTGAATGTTTCTTCCCCTAAGATGTCCTCTGTGACCCCCTTATCTCTATTATTTCTCCTTGGGATTCTCTTTCATCACACCCAGCTTTTCTCCTTCATGACATTTATTTATAAATTGAATTAATGTATTTATTTTCTGGCATATCTCTCACTAAAATGGAAACACCAGGAAGTCAGGAATTGTGTCTGCCTTGTTCACATGGTGGACTCAGAGCCTGGCACATAGTCAATACTCAATAATAATAGTTATGATGAAGATGGTTATGATGGTAATAGATGGGTTTTAGACAGTTATGTGAAAATCCAGAGATTGTGTATCACTTTGTGTAAATGTCTGTTTTTCTAAGAAGGTCTTTAGATCTCATCAGGTTCCTAAAGGACTCAGGATCTTCCATAAAAGGAGCACTGAGAGCATTTTATGCTAAGGGTTGAAATCTCATTAGATAAGGAAATAGCAGATTGGAGGGAAAAAAGGATTCCAGAGAAGCTACCTTTCTGAATGGTATCCGTGATATTTACCCTGCTTTCTCCTGGCACAAGCCAATCTTTTCCTGGCACTTTGGGAGGTCTCTGGCCTTCTGAACACTTGTCAGGACGTGAAGGAGAGAGCAACAAAGACCATTGCTCCTGACTTCCTCCCCACATCTCACAGCTTTCCATTTCAGAGGGCACCTGGCTCTAGCCCTGGATATCCAACTGCCTGCCGGGCTGTCCCACTTAGAGAAGAGTAACACCAACACTCGTGCCAAGCATTTTTGTAAACACACTACCTATCTTCACAACAATACTAGAGGTTGGAACTGCTCTTATCCCCATTTTACAGATGAGGAAACTGAGGCACAGAGAAAGCACTTTCCTTGCCCAGGATCACATCACCAGGAACTGAAGAGCTGGAATTAGAGCCCCAGGAGTCTGCTTCCAAAGCACAGTGTCCCACAGAACACTAAACTGAACATGACCAGACTTGAACCATTGTCTTCCCATAAACCCGCTCTTCCTGCCTTCTTTATCACAGAAAACAGCACCCTCATCTCCTCAGTTGCTCAAGTCAGAAAGCTGAGTCAGCCTCGACTCTGTTTTCACCATCCCCTGGGAGCCAGTCGACACCAAACCCAGAAAGCTCTCTTGGGACTCTACCACTGTCTCCATTCCCAGGCCCAAGTTATGCTGTCCCTCTCCCCTAACTGGTCTCCTGGGCACCAGTCTTGTCCCTAATCCACTGTCCACCCAGCAACCAGGAATTTTTTCAAATCGTAAATCGAACTATGTCACTCCCCTGCCCAAAACCTTTGTCACTTACAATTGCACCCAAACTCCGTAGCCCGGTTGGCAAGACCCTTCGCGATCTGGCCCTTCCCCCGTCTCTTACCCCTTGGTGCTCCAGCCATCCTGAACTACTTTCGGCTTCCAATGTCACTCATCCTCTCTCGCCTCTGAGCCTTTGCACTTGCTGTCCTTTCTGCCTGCATTACCATGTCTTCTTCTCTTCTCCTCCACCTTGCCATCTCATCGTTTAGGCCCCAGCTTCCAGATCACCTTTTGTAGAAAACCTCCCCTAACCTTCCAAGCCTGGGCTTTACATGCTCCTCCAAAATAGTCCCAAAGGATTCTGTATTTTCGCCATGACAGATAGCAAGTAACCTACTATGGAACGATTGCCTATTGACTTGCCTGTGTCTCCCACTCAACTCAGTGTCCCACAGGGCACTGTGTCCCCATGTCCAGCATGGTATCTGGCACCCAGCAGGCTTGCGGTGAATCATGAGCAAATAAATGAATTCCTTTACACATGATTCCTTTTCTCCAGAATGTTTTCACAGTAAGTCCCTTGTGGACAGAGACCCAGTAATTTTTCTGTAGCCTGTAGCGGCTTCAGTGTGAAGTTAATAGGGCACACCAGTGTGCGGCAATGCTCTGGGCAGAGGTATTTGTATGCCCATTTTGCAGGGAAGTTGAGACTTGCCTATGATGACCTAGCTGGTAAGAAATAAAACTGGGCTAGATCTGGGGTTTGTGATTCTCGGCTGTGAGACTTTTCCTTATCTGTACCCCCAATTAACTTATCTTGAAATTCTCCAGAAATGTTGGATTTTAAAGGAACGTCTCCTGCTGGTGGACTGGATTCCCGGTGGAGTTGACAATGAGTCTTTTGTGACCATTTAGGCCAGGCTCACAAACTGTTACAGTGGCCCCCCTATGAAGGGAGGTGCACAGGCCTGGCCCAGGGTCCAGTTGCCCGGCACCCCATGCCCACCCTCCCCCTCAGGACCCTACCAGCCCGTGTGGCCCCCGAGGCCACCAGTCGTTGAAGGCCTTTCTTCTTGAGGATGACACTGCTGCCGATGAGGAAGCTGGACAAGAAGGCCAGGCCCAGACCAATGTAGAAGCCGTAGCTCTGCCTGAACCTCTCCTTCCAGCTGGTAGAGGTGACATTGCTGGGCACCTGGGGGCTGAGGTCACTGACGATCTGGCACAGGACTTGTTGGGAGGAGCAGTAAAGGCTGATCAGGGAACCTGGACAGGAAGACCATGGTAAGTGAGTCATGCCGGGTACACTTGGGTGCTTTCAAGATACTGGAATTGGCGGCTCTTTCAGACCCCATACTTCAGCTTCCAAAGCCCACACAATGGGCCTGAACCTAACAATAATAATTAACATTCACCAAGTGCTTACTCCAGGCTAGGGGCTTTATTTGCATGAACTCATTCAATTTTCATAACCATCTGTCAGGTAAGTGCTGCTTTGAATTCCCATTTCATAGATGTAGAAATGGAGGCCACGAGAGGTCAGGCACCTTGCCTAAGAACACAGACTGTCTGACTCCAGAACTCCAGCACATAACCCCTAAGGTGTACTGATGCTCCCCACACCCAGCAGGGTTCTCAGGCTCTCAAACTCTTAGGCGTCATTGACTCCAACTTCCCACCCTCCACAGGAATCCCCTCGCAGCCTCTGGACTTCCAATAGCTCAGGATCACACAGGGATTTTCTCCTCCAAGAGGCCTCTTCACTTCCATATCCCTACCTCCAGCCGCAGCAGAGACTTCTGACAGGTAACATGAGGGAGTGAGGCCTGCGGGTCCATAGCCCTTCTAGGCCTGAAAGTGACTAATATAAGCATCCCGTTTGTTAGAACGGCCCATTCCCAAGCCATATTTTAAGACCTCTGGTGCTGACAGTCAGTGGCTTGGGCCTCCTTCAGGCCTCAGAGACATTGGTGTCCCTGTCACTCCATGTGGAATCTCTTCAGTTTGCTTTCCAAGTCCTTGAGATCCTGAGAGTCCGAATCAGCCCTCATGCCCCAGAACCGGCCAACCCTTGCTCGCCTTTCTGGCACAAACACCAAGGACAATAGGACAAACTTGGGTGAGGGGCAGACCCTCAGTCAGAAGAGCTAAGCTGCCTAAGTTCAGTGAAACAATATAAAGCACAGCCAATAATCCTCCAGTTCCAGTGCCCACATGGTCCTCTACTCTGAGGCTTTCCAGGAACATTCCTACCACAGAAATGGCACAGTGATCATGTGCAGGGTTTTGGCTGGAGAAACTGGGACCCTGATAAGTTTGGTGACCTGAGTAAGACTACACTCGTGGTAAGAAGAGAAGCCAAATTGTTCCCCAAGTCCGTGTAATGTCAAAACCATGCTCTTAACCGTCACATGTACCCCACAGAGCAGGCAGCAAGGGTGGGGTGGGGTTTCCTTTGGCCTCTTGAGGGTTATTTTAAAATATGAACTTATTACTAACATTTAAAAATCCGATTTCCCCGGGTGCCTGGGTGGCTCAGTCAGTTAAGCGTCTGACTTCCACTCAGGTCATGATCTCGCGGTCCATGGGTTCGAGCCCCACGTCAGGCTCTGTGCTGACAGCTCAGAACCTGGAGTCTCCTTTGGATTCTGTGACTCCCTCTCTCTCTCTCTCTCTGCCCCTCTCCTGCCTGCTTTCTCTCTCTCTCTCTGTTTCTCAAAAGTAAATAAACATTAAAAAATTTTAATAAAAATCTGATTTCCCAATTCAGCTTTTGAGCTGCCTGTGTTCACCTTGTTGAGTACACCATCCCAACCGACAACTGGCTGCAGTTGAGAGTGGTTCCCCCTTAGGAAATGCACCTTGCAATTCCTCAGAGTCCATACCTGGCTCCCTTCAGTCATTCTGGTTATGTGCTCAGCCCCTGTAGGCATCTGAGTTTGTGACCTCTGGTGGTCAAAGGCCTTTTTCAAACCATGGGTCACAAAGCTCCAGGCTGCTGTGCCAAGGATGTAAGCCTGGGCCGGTTTCTCCGCATACCAATTAGAACTACAGGCGAGCCACTAGATGGGCCCCAAAGCCCAAGGTCATGCAGCTCTGGCTTTGGTGTATCTGGAGGATAGAGCAGCATCTTGGTGGAATAAAATAAGGGCAATGCTGATCTTTCTTCCATGGCACAGAATGGCCTGTCTCACCCTCTTACTTGCAGCTGGGAAAACTGGAGCCTAGAGAAGGGGAAGGACTTGCGTGAGTCTCACAAAAACCTAGTGGCAGAGCTGGGCCTGGAACCCACCAGGGGACATCCATGTGTCTTTCACAGTGGGAGATCTCTCTTCCTGACACCTGTGTCACAATCAAGAGAAGATGAGACATGAAGCCATTTCCATCCTTAATGAAATTCGCTCTGACCTCTTGCTCCTGTTCCTCAGCTCAGACAGTCTAGTCTGGAGAGTTCCCTGAACTCAGGAAATGAGCCAGAGCCTGGGAGGACGTGGGCCAAGGAAGGTGACTCCCAAGAGGAAGGCCAAGCCCATCCCCACGCCCTTCACCTGCCCTCCTGAAGGTGCATCTCCAGGAGGTGGAGCCACGGGGTGAGCTTGCCTGTTCTGGGAAGCACCCTCCGCTGAATGAAGTTTTCCCAGGGGGACAAAAAGAAAATGAGAGAGGCTGGAGGCCAAAGGACATCCAGTTCTGAGAAGGATGCTCATTAGACAAGCGGGTGCTGGGCCCAATGATTCCGGCTTCTTTTCCAGAATATGCTAGGGCTGGGGAACATATTCTTCCCCAGGGGAAGGTGAGGCTGAAAATGGACTGCATTGTTGATCAGGAGACCAAAGCCAGCCAACACCCAAAGAGCTGGCTTTGAACACTCGCTGGAGAAGAGAAATTAGAGAAACAGGGCTATCGGACAAGTTACAATTGCAAGAGGCTGTAGGAAAATGGAGACACAGCGGGAAGAGAGAGCACAGTAGTCTGAGTACAGGTTGTAGGATCCAAGGGCTCTAGCTTTATATTCCACTTCCCCCAGCGGATTAGTTTGAGCAAATCATCAGGCTTTTCAGAACTTCAGTTTCTTTCTCTCCAGAAAGGAGACAGAGAGGTGATAATATCTACCTGCCCTCTAGAGTTAAGGATAAATGAAGTAATGCAGGTAAAGGGCCTAGTCTACCACTCGGTTCCCAGCAAGAACTTAACATAAAGCTAAAGGTCTTTCTTATCCCTTCCTGGGTTGCTCTTTCCCTCTTTTCCCTAAAAGGTGTGTGTGGGTTTGGGGGTGAAGCGTCTCTGCGCCCCTCTCCCTTGCCCCAGGGAGACAGGCAGACCGGGGCAGGTAGTAGAATCTGAAGCAACTGTATATGAGAAACAACCACGAGCCCCACCTCCCCCTCTGGTTGACCAGTTGCAATCAGTGCTGCCCGCCGCCGCCGCCTCCGTCCCCACGCGTCCCTTTCCTCCCAACCCCCCTCTCAGCTACCAGCTCCGAAGACGGGGGAAGACGGCCGGAACCCCGCTTCTCCCCAAGACTGGCCAGAGCGCGATCCACCCCTCCTCGGTTTGGGCCGCGGCCAGAGAGGACGCGAAGGAAAGGAGCGGCGGCGAAGGGAAGGCGCGAAGCGCGGCCCGCACGCACCGTTCTGGCAGCTGGTGTTGCTGGCCCGCAGCTCCATGGGCCCTGCGCGCACCGACCGACGCGCGGGCTGCTGGCGCCCCGGGTTCCCCGGTGCCGGAGCAGGTGGCCGAGACTCGTCCCCCGCGTGGCCGGCGTGCCAGAGGCTGCCGGGGTCGGCCCCAGGGGTGGAGAGAATGACGCGCCCCAGAGGGGGACGGTCCTCGGGGAGGAGTCACCCAGAGTCTTGGGCAACTCGCTGGGCCGGGGGCCCAGCGCTCGAGCAGCCGGCAGAGGGGCGCACGCCCTCCCGGGGTGGGAGGCTGCAGCGCTCCCGGAGAGGGAGTCACCGCGTCGCGCCCCCGGCGGGAGGCAAGGGGGGCGGGTCCCCGGGCGCCTCCCCTCCGCGACGCCGGGACTGCACCCGGTTATGTCCCCAGTGTCAGAGAGATGATGGATCCTCAGACGGTGGGAGAGGGGGGGTTTTTTCGGGCGGAGGAAGAAGTGGGGAAAGTGGGGGTTGGAAGAGGCACGGCTGCCAGATGGAGTCCTCCCGGGTCGGGAGGGGGTCCAAGACCCTGGGTTTCTCCCTTCCTGTCTGCCTTCTTGGCTTCCTCCTTCCCTGCCTCCCTGCCTGGTTCATTCATTCAACATAGGTCTGATCTGTGCTGGGCACTCGCACACAACAGGCACACAGTAAGTAGGTGCCCGATAAATGGTCCATACTTGTCTGTGGAATGAATGGATGATAGAAGCTTGGTAAATTCAATGAAAGAAGTATATTTCTTCTTCCAAGTGACTGGAGACCAGAAGGAGGCAGACATATTCTCTGTCCCTGGAGAACCTTATGTATTAATGAGAGAAACAAAATGGGATCTACTACCTAGAAACTGGTGTCTTCCAAATCAGCATTAAAAAAAAAAAAAACAAAAAAAACTGGATGGGGTGCCTGGGGTAGCTTATTCGGTTGAGTGTCTGGCTCTCGATTTTGCTCAGGTCGTGATCTCCCTGCTCCTGAGTTGGGGCTCCAAGCTGGGCTCTGTGCTGGCAGTGCAGAGTCTGCCTGGAATTCTCTCTCCCTCAGAATAAACAAATAAGCTTAAAAAAAAAAAATCTCAAAAAAACTGTGGTTATGGAAAGTATGTTTGTCATCCATGGGTAATAGTAAACATAAATTAGAGAAACACTGATTTGAACCATAAGAACGCCTGTGCAGTGTTTGCCGCAGGGCAGGCAATGTTAATGCTGAAAAACTCCCGTTCATTCAGTCCTCATGACAGCCATATACAGGACATACTTTTATCATTTTCAGAAAGGAAACTGAAGCACAGAGTGATCAAGGAACTTTCTGGGGTTCCCAGCTAGAAAGTGGAAGAGCCCAGATCAAATACATGCTCCCAGTGGCCGCACGGACATGCTTGGCATTTTAGACTCAAATACGCTCTGGCTCCTGAGAACTGAAGATGTGGGACCTCCAAGAAAGCAGGTGGTCAGTTCTGGCAATGTTGGTCACTGGCCTCCTGGAGGAAGTAGCTTTTAAATGTAGTTATGGAGTCTTCGCTATGGGACAGACCCCGGGCTAATCCCTATCCAGATATTATCTTATTTGAGCCTCCTGTAAGGTAGGTATCATTACTATCTCCATGGTACAGATGAGAGAAAACTGTACTTAAAAAAATTTTTTTTTGGTTATAAGATAATTTTAGATTTACAGAAGAATTACAAAAATAGCCCAGAAAGTTCCCATATACCTGTCACCAGCTTCTCTTAATGTTAATATTTTGTATAGGAATAGAAGAAGCCATATTTTAAATACTGTGAGAAACTTGCCCCCAAGGTCCCACAACTAGTGGAGTAAACAGAGCTGCCCCCCAGCCTGTCCTCTCCAACATCACTCTCTACCTTCTACACGTGACCTTCTAGCTGGGCCCCAAGGGATGGGTTCTCCCAGCATGTGGCTTCCCCTAACTTTCAGGTGATTTTAAACAAATCACTTACTCTTGAGGAGAAATGGTTTCCTCATCTGTCAAATAAGACAGTCCTTCCAGCTTTCTGTGTGTGTGTGTGTGTGTGTGTGTGTGTGTGTGTGTGTCTGTATCACCATGGGGTTGGGGGCAAGGTGGTTAAGGTAGAGTGTAGAAGGGAGCGGGAAATCACAGGTATTGGTAACATTACACATCCGAGTTCAAGGTAATGCACCCAGACCTACCCCTCACCTTGGAGGGATGCGGCATCAGAGTTCAAATGGAGGTGATTACCTCCAAGTCCAGTATAAATTGGAACACAGAGAAGCTGGAAACTGGATGATTGGTCCTGCTAGGAAATGGTAGTTCATTATAGCAGCATCTACACTACCTGAGAGGGAGGATTGAACAAGAAAATTTAACTGGTCTTTTCTCTTAGCTAAGCATTTCTGCTGCTTAGATTTAACGTGTGCTACTAAACAGTGCCCATTTCTGAGGCTGGTGGAAATACGACCCTCAAACTCTCACTGCCTTCAAACCCTGATTGCATTTGTTCCGAGGACATGGAACAAGAGATTTGTGGTCTTTCTTTCTGACCTGGGCTTTTTTAATCACGAGAGCGGACATTTCAGTTATGGTCTCATTGTGCCAGAGCTGGACCCAGATCTTGAGAGGTAGGTACACACGTATGTTCCCTAATACATATATTTTTGGATATGTTTGTGATTTGTGGAGCTGCTAAATTTTGTGGTCCAGGGCAGGGACTCCCTTGCCCTGTGTTCACCCTGTGCTTTGAGACAAGGCTTTTCAGACTTAGGTGAGTTTCATGTTTTAGGGCAGTGGGCTGAGGTGGAGGGAGCTGGGATCTACTGATGGTTCTTCTAAACCCTCTCAGGGCCTCAGGCTCCCCATTTGTTCTAGAAGGAGGCGTGGCTTCCCCAGGGCTGGCATCAGCATCCCGGGAGTGCAGATATAATGAGCCCCATTGAACCGCAGTCTCCCCGCCTGCTGTCCTGACAAAGCCCTTTTCTCCCTGAGCCACAATAGCACTGTCAGGCAGGTAGCAGGGCCTGTAGCATTGTCTCCCCAGAAAAGAACAACAGGGCTCACTGTCTGTCCCAGGCTCGTCTACCAGGGGAGGGCGGTGACTTTGGAAGGGTCTGACCAGCCAGAGACAGATGGGCTCTGTCCTTAGCCAGCCAGGCACTAGTGAACCAGTCACATCTCATTTGGCCAGTTATTCCAGGATGAACAGGAAGACTAATTTACGAAAACCCAAATCCCTAAAAATTTGGACCTTCTAAGTGCATGTCCAAATGTTCTGTTACAGAGCTGCACTGTCCAGTGTGGTAGGCCCCAGCTCCATGTGACTATTGAGAATGTGGAAAGGGGCTAATGTGAAGTAGTCATGAAGTAGACACGTAAAACAGACACTGTTAACATTTCGGGACACATAATTGTTTGGCAGGGGAGGCTGTCCTACGCACTGTAGGATTTTCGGTAGTATCCTTGGTCTCGTGTCAGTTGTATACACTGCTGCCCATCTCCAGACTCCCCTAGTTGTGACAACCGGTTGCCCAAATCTCCCCAGGTTGCACCCCATCCAGATTTCAAAGACTCAGTAAGAAAAAAATGTAAACTATTAATAACTTTTATTATTAGTTACATGTTGAAATGATAATATCTTGGATACATTGGGTTAAATAAAATACATTATCAAAATTAATTTTCTCTACTTCTTTTTACTTTTTGTAAAGGTGGCTACAAAATGATTTAAAACGTAGTGGCTCACATTATATTTCTGCTGGACATTGTGATTTATAGAGGGCTTGCTATATGTTATATGCATGTTAGTTACCTATATGCATATATGTATATGCATGCTCATTGAATCTTTGCAGAAATTCTGGGAAACAGGTTTTATTATTATCCCCATTTTCCAGATGAGGAATGAAGTTCAGTGGGGTCACTGAGCCTGTAAGTCAAGAAGCCAAGAATCAAACACAGATACGCTTTTCAATACTGCATATACTAAGTGCCTTAGGTTTAGTAACATGCCATGACACTTGGGTAGGTCACTTCCCCTCCTGGCATCTTACCCCAGGTAGAAGGGTTGGGCAAGATGTAGCTTGTGGTCCTTTCCAACCCTGCTGAGCTGGTCTTCTTGGCAGGGTGGGGAAGGACTGATGGCTGTCGCTTCCTTCAGGCTGACCTGGAATCATGGGAATCTCAAGTGTCGTCATGCAGAAACCGGCCAACTCCTCTTCTTTAGGTGGGTCCCCAGGATGGCTTCTATTCTCATAAAAAGCTTTAATGCCACTAGAAATAATACTTGGAATGGACACAGGTGCACTCAGACTGGCTCTAAGAAGAGCGCCATGCCCAGGGATGAGTCCAATTGATGCAACTGGCATCAATAATGATTATTAAACAACACACCATTACTGACTTCTTGTGTGTCAAGCACTTTGTAAGCTTTGGCTCACATGGTCATTGCAGTCCCTTACTCTGGGTACCATTTCAGGTCCCATTTTACAGATGAAGGAACTAAAGCTCAGAGAGTGTAGTGACTTTACCAAGGTCACACACCATGGTAAGGACAGAACTTCAAGCTGGGCTTGTGTGTCCCCAGAGCAGCTCTCATAACCAAGGCCCTGGTTTGGGAAGGATAGAGCATTCTTTCCAGTAGTCTTCTTGGCCCTTCTCCATATGGGTAGCTTGGAAGACTGAGGCCATCCAGAAACCACATGGACAGCCATGCCACCTTCTCATCAGCTCTCCTTCAGAGTTAGAGCTGAACTAATCCAACCCTCTTAGTCTGCAGGTGGGGAAACTGAGGCCTGAAGAGGGGAAAGGTGCTAACTTGTGGCAGAATCAGAACTTTTATCTGTGGCAGAATCACCACTTTTATCTCCTACAACACTTTCTTCATGAGCAGAAAAGGCTAAGCCTAGGGAATATAATAAGAGCTATTATTTTTTGGCCACTTTTTAAGGACAAGCCAGGATTTCATATACATTGTCCCATTTGCTCCTCTCAATAAGCCTATGAGTCAGGTGCTGCTATGATTCCTGTTTTAGAGATGAAAAAATGGAGGCTCAGAAAGGCTAAGTTGTCTGCAGTTAAACAATGGGGCCAAGATAAAACCCAGCATGCTGATTCTAGCGCCATTTCTTGACTGCTCTTCTCAGTCAAGGCTGGTCACACTGTGTTTACGGGATTCCCTCTCAGCGTATGCCTACAGGTGGAAGAGGTTTCAAATTCCTATAT